CATCCTGAGTGCCCATGATGACTCCAGTCGATTGCATCTTCAAATGGGATGTGAGCATCAGAGCTGGACCATGGAGCAATGGAAGAAGGTTACCTGGTCTGACTAATCATATTTTCTTTTAGATCAGGTGCTTGTTCGGGTATATGTGCATCGTTTACTTGGGGAAGAGATGGCAGCAGGATGCACTATGGGAAGAAGGCATGCCAAGAGAGGCAGAGTTATGCTCTGGGTAGTGTTCTGCTGGGAAACCTTTGGTCCTGGCATTCATTTGGATGTTAGTTTGACATCCTACCTAGATATTGTTACACACCATGTACACCCCTTCATGACATAATGCACCTTGTCTGCAAAAATTGTTCAGGAATGTTTTGAGGTACATGACAAAGAGTTCAAGGTATTACCTTGTCCTCCAAATTCCCCATATCACAATCTTGTTGAACATGTGCTGGAACAACAAAGCTGCTCCATGGAGACCCCACCTCGCAATTTAAAGGACTTAAATAATCTGTTGCTATTGTCTTGGTGCCAGAGGACACGTTCAGATGTCTTGTGGAGCCCATGCTTCAGTGCATCAGAGCTGTTTTGGCAGCTTGAGGGGACCTACACGATAGGCTGGTAGTTTTAATGTTGTGGCTGGTCAGTGTATGTACTCATTGACAGGGCCGTCTTTAACGCGGGGCAAACGGGGCAGCTGCCCCGGGCCCAGTTTCTCTTGGGGGGCCCGAGGCACCTGCCCCGTGGGCCCCGCTGCCCTCATCAATTAATTTTTTTCCCGTCCCACCGGGTGGCCCATGCACTTAGGGCAGTGACGTACATACCAGGGTCGCGGCTGCGACCCTGGTATGTAGCCACAGGGCCAGCCTCTTCCCCTGGGGGGGCCCAGGAGGCGGCCACCCCAGGGCCCCCCGAGGCTGGCCCTGCTGACCCCGGCGGGCGGGCGGCCGGCGGGCAGGAAGGCGGGCGCGCGAGGGAGCACTCAGTGCTTCCTCTTCAGCTCCCTCGCGCACTGATACCGGAGCCGGAAGATGACGCCATCTTCCGGCGCCGGCATCCCTACGGCGCGCGAGGGAGCTGAAGAGGAAGCAGTGAGTGCTCCTCGCCGCCCGCCTTCCTGCCCGACCGGCCACCCGCCCGCCGGGGTCAGCAGGGCCACTGGACCCCAGGGAATCCCCCCAGCACTCCAAAAGGTAAGGAGGCTGGGGGGATTACATTTAAAAAAAAATGTGTGTTAGTGTGTGTTTGTGTATGTGTGTTAGTGTGTTAGTGTGTGTTTGTGTGTTAGTGTGTGTGTGTTAGTGTGTGTGTGTTTGTGTGTGTTAGTGTGTGTGTTAGTGTCTGTGTGTCAGTATGTCTGTCTGTGTGTCAGTATGTCTGTGTGTGTTTTTGTCAGTATGTATGTCTGTCTGTGTGTCAGTATGTCTGTGTGTGTTTTTGTCAGTATGTATGTCTGTCTGTGTGTCAGTATGTCTGTGTGTGTTTTTGTCAGTATGTATGTCTGTCTGTGTGTCAGTATATCTGTGTGTGTGTTTCAGTATGTCTGTGTGTGTCAGTCTGTCTGTGCATGTCAGTATGCCTGTCTGTGTGTGTGTCAGTATGTCTGTGTGTGTGTGTCAGTATGTCTGTCTGTCTGTGTGTGTGTATATGTCTGTAGTGCGTCAGTATGTCTGTTAGTGCATGTGTATGCATGTGTCAGTATATCTGTCTGTGTGCCAGTATGTCTGTGTGTGTGTGTCAGTATATCAGTCTGTGTGTGTCAGTGTATGTGCCTGTGTCTGTGTGTCAGTATGTCTGTCTGTGTGTCAGTATGTCTGTGTGTGTTTTTGTCAGTATGTATGTCTGTCTGTGTGTCAGTATGTCTGTGTGTGTTTTTGTCAGTATGTATGTCTGTCTGTGTGTCAGTATATCTGTGTGTGTGTGTTTCAGTATGTCTGTGTGTGTCAGTCTGTCTGTGCATGTCAGTATGCCTGTCTGTGTGTGTGTCAGTATGTCTGTGTGTGTGTCAGTATGTCTGTCTGTGTGTCAGTATATATGTGTGTGTGTATATCTGTGTGTGTCAGTATGTGTATGTGTCAGTATGTCTGTCAGTGCGTCAGTATGTCTGTTAGTGCATGTGTATGCATGTGTCAGTATATCTGTCTGTGTGCCAGTATGTCTGTGTGTGTGTGTGTCAGTATATCAGTCTGTGTGTGTCAGTGTATGTGCCTGTGTGTGTGTGTCAGTATTTCTCAGTGTATGTGGGTGTCAGTATATCTGTCAGTGTGTGGGTGTCAGTATTTCTGAAAGTGTATGTGTGTCAGTATGTTGATCAGTGTATGTGTCTGTGTGTGTGTGTCAGTATGTCGGTATATGTGTCTGTGTGTCAGTATGTCTGTATATGTGCCTGTGTCAGTATGTCTGTCAGTACGTCTACCAGTGTATGTGTCTGTGTGTGTGTCAATATATGTACCTGTGTCAGTATGTCTGTCAGTGTATGTGCCTGTTTATCTGTATGTAGTCAGTGTATGTATCTGTGTATCTGCTTGTGCGTCAGAGTGTGTACCTGTGCATCTGAGCCGCAACTTTAAATACAAATACACCCCTCCATTCAAACTTCAACACTACATATAAAACACACTCCTGCATTGAAACGTCAACACTACATACAAGCACACTCCTACATTCAAAAACAAACACTACACATAAATGCACACTTGCATTCAAACTCCAGTACCACATACAAACACATTCACACAAACATACTCCATACAAACACATGCTTACATTCAAACATACAAACATGGCTCAGTGCTAAATACAACCCTGCAAGCATGGGAAATTGGTAGAGTCCCAGCTGTCAAAGCATTGTTGGAGTTGCACGACAGATGGGGTTCTACCTTTAGTCCAACCTTGCAATTGGGGGTCCCAATAAAATTCATTCTACTTTAGTACCGCCACTGCGTTGGGATGGATGCCGTGATTGCATACCAGGGAGTGAGGGGCGAGAGCGGCAGGGCCCAGGGGGCCCAAGCAAACACTTGCCCAGGGTCCATTCGTTATTAAAGACGGCCCTGCTCATTGATGTGCTTTAGTTACTGAATATGAGAAATTTTTTCTTCACAAATGGTAATCTCCTTCTCTGCTTTACAGAACTCCAAAAGGTATGACATAAAATCTTTTTTTACATGGTTAACACTGTGTACTATCTCATGTGCACAATATAGTAAATTGTGCCCACAAGATCGTACAGCGTGCCCACGAGATTATAAACTCATGCACATGTCAGCAAGCCCCTTCAATGGCGTCAGGAGGGCTCAACTTCTGCCGCCATGTTGGAGTTCAACCAGGGACCAGATTAGGCTGAGGTAAGAGGAAGTAAGATGCTTACGGAAGAGACGGCTCCACTACTCACAATATAGTTAAATTATGTGCAAGAGTTAACTATATGGTGTGCACGAGGGATTAACTCATGTACTAAATAATTCAAGTGTGCTCACAAGTTTACTGTCTTGTGAGAAAGATCTAGTAAATCATGCATAAAAGACTGTACAGCGGAAAAAGATTAAAAATATATTTTATGTGGCACCTCTGGCCTCCCAATTCTAACTTCCGTTTCCCATTTCATTTTTTTCTTTCAGTCAATAAAATTCACATTTTAATTAATACTTATCTGTGAATGCATGCTAGAGCTTATGAACATGATGACAAATTATTTCCTTAGTTTAATGTAGTTGCTGAAAATTCCCCATGTCTGTTTAAATGAGATGATTTAAATAGCAGCTATAATTTATTATGATTTATTTAACTTTTAAATTAATGAAGTTGAATTCAAAGTAGAAGATAATTTTAGGTTATAAATAATAAAAATGTTAAAGGATAGGTCAAACAGAAGACTTCCTGATTTTAAGCCTCAGACATTTGAATTGCCAGTTTTCAACTGTATCCTGTAATATGTAGAATTTACACATGGATGTTGAAATTGGAGATTCTTAAAGAGTTACTCCAACCACCATGACTACTTCTGTGGTTTTGAGGTGCAATATTTCGCATGTGTGCTGGGGGCTAGTTACAACTCTGTTCCTTCCTCTGCATGCTGGAGAGGTGCTCTCAGTCCCCAGGTCACAATCATCCAACACCCACGAGAGGCATTGCACAGTCCATCAATGCTGACCTAGGCATGAGGATCCCTGATCCTGTGAGCTCGTTGACTGTGTTCAAATTCCTGGCCTTGACAGAGCATAACCATCAGGGTACGTCCTGCACTAATTCCTTGTGCAGCGGGAGCTGTTGTGATATCTTTTACAGAGACACGAAACTTGGTAGCTACCTGCCACATTACTAACCCACACGCCTCAAACAGTTATATAAACTATTTGCCCCTGCTCCACATTGTCTCAAGTCCCCTTCATAACCTTTACATTGTAAGCTCACACACCATCTAGCTTAGTACTTGGTGACATCCTCTGAGAGTTACCTAAACTTCAACTCTTACATCACTCAGGCTACATAGACAAAATAAATTATGTGCACCATGTTTTCACTGAACTAATATTTACTTTGTTTTCCTCGGGGACAAAACACACCTTTAATTCATCATTAATAAGTATATATAATATATCACTGATTGATTGCTTCTCTCATGCTATAGACTGAACCCCTTGCACTCTCCAAGGTGGCCTGAGACTGTTTTGTTAGAGCACGCAACTTGCTTGACTTCTGAAATTACCATTGTTATCTACCTTAATTTAGTACAATTGTTCTCCATCCTGTGATTGCAATATTTTTTCTGGCCTAGTTATCTATCTTTACATTTGCAATATTCTGCTTTATGGATTGTATTCAGTTTACAAAGTCTCACTATGTTTGCATGCTTTTAGACTCTGGGCCTATACCAGTTGCCCTTAATAAATCTTACTTGTTTTATTTGATTAATCAATAATTATCCTACACACGGGGCTCGAGACACAGTGACTATATGACAGATCCCTTCTATTTTAATTGTATCCTATGTATGGTATAAACAGGTTGGACATTGCCAAAGGCTTTATCACATAGACTATTCCTTTATCCTACATACTCCTAAAATAAAAATTAAAACCAAGAACGTTCTGCAGCTAAGAGCTTTATTCAAGGTTACAGACTGACACATTAAAGAGACGTTATCAAATTTTAAAATCATTTCATGCGTCTCTTCTTGCCGTGCTTCTCAGCAGAAGAGGTTTGTAGCTGGTGGGTGTGCTTTGTTCTCCTTCAGCTGCTTGCTGGGGCTGGAGCTGGGGCAGCAGCAGCAGCCGCCACTGGAGTAGGAACAAAGCAGCCACGTTTGTGCCACTGCATGTCACGGATACGGCGAACAGACTGGATTTGTGGCTGGTTGGCCTCCCAGTCGTTCCAGTGTCTGTATTCATTCTTCTCGAACACATACTGACGGCCTCTGTAGCCAGGGTATTCGTAGCCAACCCAGCTGGAATGGAGAGAGAGGAGAGAGCAGATAGGCAGGTTATTCCTCTTGGACAGAAAAGGTCATTTAAAACAGAACCTTTACAAGACTTATATATATATATATAAAGATGAATTATGCTAAAGGCACATATGAAATAAGCAATAATATGTCTAAGGCCATGTTTAATATTTTGCATGAAGAGTATATTTATAAGGTATGCTGCGACCAGCACCCTGGCACAAGTAAACGTCTCTACAATTAAAACACTGGAACTTCCTGAATCAGCTGTAACGCAATAAAGAGTTTAAAATGTGGGCTAATCTTCTATTCTTGTCCTTAAATGCAACATGTAGGGCACACAAGGCTTAATGTCTCCTTTTCTTTCATTTATCGTGAATATAATTATGGATTGTAACTCCTTCTAGCAATACTTGTGATCTGGATTATTTTTGTAGCTAGTTAAGAATGAAACTGCAGTGTTGGGGTGCTCTGTTTCTACACGAAATGCTTTGAAGCCTTATACTGTGATTTTTGTTTTGGGTTATGTAGATTATCACGGATGGTGATGACCTGCGTATCTATTCTTACTTTTTCTTTACATATCTGACTGTGAGAATGATGTGACCTTTTGTAGTTGACATTCCTTTCTAAAGATATAATTTCATATTCTGTTGTCCCTTTCTATCGCACGCTTTCTGTAAATGGCTTAGGTATTACCTGTATTCTACTGTACATATTACTCAATGTGAGGGATATCTGTTTATATTTATAGCCTTCATCCTTTGCCATGTATCAGCCAAATATCAACACACAGAGATTCAGATATTTACAATTCAATCTTAAGACCGTAAAAAGCATGTATTTTACTGTCTATTTCAACTCCTTTCTCTTACGTTCCATTAAGAACTTTAATACTGGCCACTCGGTCCTGGAAGCCATGAGCCCAGAGACTAGGTACATCATCATCCACAATCTCCATCTTCCTCCCGTTGTAGCCAGCATTTTCAAATAGGTGGATCTTGTGATCGGCACTGTCCTGCGGTTCAGAAAGCATGTTTAGTAGCTATGACATTAAGGATATGCTGAACTATAATAATGTACATAATAAAACAGACATTCGTATAGACTTTGGTAAGAAAATGGGGATAGGACATGTTATCAATTAATAGCCATAGACAAAGCCCACCTTATACATATTGTCAACTGTATGACATGCTTGTAATTAGAAGCGAAACAATAAGATATATATATAGCAGCTCATAACCAATGCTTGCATTTATTAAGTTAGGTTACAAATTGTGTCATACTGTAGAATGCTTCAAAGTGACGTTTAAGCATGCGTGATTTGTGACTTGCTTTAATAAATGCACCGATTGATTTTTAAACTGCAATATCAAGAGGGCAGTGTGTTGGGGGGGTTTTTTTGTTTTTGTTTTTTTTTTACTTGCTTCTAAATATTTAAGACTCATACTACATGAAATGCATATTTACATATGCACAATGAGATATATCAAACATTGAATCTTCCGTAACCAGACTGTAAATTGCGTAGCCATAGACACTGCTGCTGTGACAATAACCACTATGGATAGAGAAGCATCTGGAATTTGAAAATAATAGAGTAACAGAAATATATTTGAAGAAAATATTACAAAATACACAAATAAACAATCACTTGCAGCGAGTTTTGGCAAGCTCTTCACTGCTTTATCCATGAGTGTACATGGGAGAATGGAAATATATATATACCCACACACACATCTGAATAATACTGGAATAAAATGTTCCAAGTGCATACTTTTTTTTGCCTATCGTGTCGGAATCTTTTATTAGACACGTTTGTGTTCTACTGAGCCACTGATTTTCTCAGCAGTAGCAATGGCTAAGAGCCCCTAGTATACTATCATGCACTAGCGCCCTCTATTGTTGCTACTGGTAACTGCTAATGAAGCAGAGGTTTAGCACATGACTTTAAAGGGACAAATCTTTGTTCTCAACCTTTGGCTCACTTGGAGGAATAAGCTGTTTGGATCTCTAAGTCTAGTTTTAATGACAATGACTAAAATGCCTGTTGATACCCTCTAGACACAGAAGTTACAGAAGTTACAAATATTATATATCCGTAGAAAATTCAGAGAGAACCTTTATTATTTAGACCCCCTGCCACAGTACCGCAGAGTTCTGTTGACTAAGATTGCAACTATGTGCCATCCATTACCAGGCTATATTATTCTTTACCAAATATGTAATATAGCAATTGCTGTATATATTTATGTATACATTTATATACCGTCCTCTTGCAGACGTATACCAGTTCCCTTTAATGGATGATACCACTTCTAGCTCTTGAACTGGCAGTTAGCAATCTAAGGCAATTATTTAGTATATAGTATATAATTAGTGCATAGTATACCGATATTTGTTATAGGCTAAAGTAAAATTTTTCTATCCATTGGTAATTTGTAAATGAAAAACTGTCTTCAAATTAATCTTAAACATGCTTTTTTTCCATTTATATTTTAGGGGTAAACCCTTAATTCAAGACTCAAAAGCAGATTCCCCACTATCACACCTGTTTATAATGAAACATATTTGTATATTCTCATGAAAAGTAATGCTATTATGTTGAGCTCATTATTAGCGTGCAAGTTTTAGGAGAAAAAATGTTACCGATGATGATTTGTAGTTATTGATACATAGCTATTCCTAGTTATTCCATTCATGCAAAGTCTTTTTGTACGTTGTTTATTCAGTTTAATGAAACTTGTTCCAAACAGACAGGAGAACGAGAACTCAAAATGCACTTCTCACATTGTTTACCTGTATGCCCCCAAAGTTTCGATATTGTACTTACAACGTTCAAGGGACGGATGGACATCACATAGTCACTCCTGTGACTGTTGGACCACGTGTCCCATCGTGGGTAGTCACCCTTTTCAAGAACAAACTGCTCCCCACCGAATGCTTGACGTTCAAAGCTGAGCCATCTGAAAGGAGAAGAAACAATATGGCATAAATGTTTAAAGGGATACATCAGGATAGATCTGCCCTTCACCCCTTTTAATGCAACATGGAGTTATGCAAAAAAAAAAAAGGGGGAATGGATAAAAAGATTATCCACATCTAAATTTACCCTCATAAGTTCGAAATCTGCATCCTTTGCAGACCCCAGTACATGACTGAAATTTATGGAACAATCCTGGCCCTCTCGTAGTTTTCAATGGCAGTGCTGTAGTCAACTGTACCCAACAAGTTGATCAGACTTTCCATGGCACACACATACTTTGCATACACCACACTGTACTAAATCATAAACATGAAGGGGGTAACTATGTCATGATGTCTTTGAATGAGGGGCCAAGCATGTAGCTGCAGTATGTTTAACAAACTGCTACAGCTATAATGAATTGGATGTAAGGAGACAGGCAGATTCTCGAACCATAACCTATACAAGGCTAAGAGGGTTTTATAGGACGTGGATGTCTCTTTCAACAATTAACAACGTTATACACTTCATAGACAAAATTGTGTTTAAAATAAAATTATAATAATAATTTCTGTAATACCTTTCAATGACGTATCATTCAAATCAATATGAATCTTTTTTTATTTTATTTATAAAAATCTACACATGACTAACTAACTGCACTGAGATCTGTTCAGTTGCCAGGACTGCTTAATAATAAAGAGTAAATAAGATTTTTGATTTGGTACATTATAAATGTCACGATGGCTAATCAGTGTGGAACAATGGATGGTTGAGCATGATGGATTTATTATTTGATGTTGCGCAAATGAAAAATCCTTTTAGATATTTTTGCTGCAATTCTTATGTTTCATTCATAATTTTAATTTTTTTTGTATGTTTCAGGAAAGCATATACATTTTATTTGCATTACATTATAAACACTCTGAGACCTCCTCTACTTTAATAATTTGTTAGCTTTTGCTACTCACGGTCCAGACTCCACTTGGATGGATCCAACTTTCTCAAGTCCTTTCTCGCTCAGGTTTTGGCATTCCCCAGTCAACTCACACTTCTTACCCTGGAAATTCTCCAGTTCATAGAGTGTGATCTGAAATAAATATGAGTGAAGTGACAAAGCAGCAAAGAGGAAATGTCTCCAAATCGTTCCAAAGAGTTTTGTTTAGATTGTGTATTGGATCCAATTTCCAAAACGTCACCTATATTGCTGCAGAAACCGAGCACTGCTTATGTTGAGGGGTACTTGAGATAAGGGAAGGGTGTTTCCTGTATACGTATAAAGGCAACTTTTTTCATTTAAAAAAATAATAACTGTCAGGAGTATTATGGTTATTGAATTATACAATGTTTCATTTTATTTTTAATCATCTATATTAAAAACTATATCACGATAATATTATCAATTATGCATAACAGAGGGTTTTGTTACAATTTTAATAATTTTACATGATGGACAGAATCATGCCTCATACCCCCTGTAAAGTTGTGTATAAGAAGGATTAAGATCCCTCAGAAGGAACCTTGCCATTTAAAACTTTTTTCCCCTCCCCCCCATTCTTCACAAATGAAAGGCATGGACAAAGACTTGGGAAACTATGATATATATATATGTGTGTGTGTGTTTAAAGGAACACTATAGAGTCAAGAACACTAACATGTATTCCTGACCCTATTGTGTTAAAACCACCATCTAGCCCCCCTAAATATAGTAACATCTTACTTGTATTCAAGTCTGCAGCTGCTGGCTCTGCCCCTGAACTGCCTCTGTCTGCTGACATCATCAGAAGTGGTGGTCTGAGCCAATAACAATGATTCCCCATAGGATTGGCTAAGACTGTCAAGGAGGCAGATCAGTGGCAGAGCCAGCACAAGTCAAACACAGCCCTGGCCAATCAGCATCTCCTCATAGGGATTAACTGAATCAATGCATCTCTATGAGGAAAGTTCAGTGTCTACATGCAGAGTGTGGAGACACTGCCCCAGGAAGCATCCTCTTAAAGCCATCTGAGGAGTTGCCAGTGAAGTTATCCCTTGGCTGTAATACAAATACTGCATTTTCTCTGAAAAGACAATGTTTACAGAAAAAAACCTGAAGCCTGATTCTACTCACCAGAACAAATTCAATAAGCTGTGGTTATTCTGGTGACTATAGTGTCCCTTTAAGGCTTCTCCGGTTTGTGAGTGCATCATTTACCTCACTGACTTTTGTTTATACACTTGGGTGTTAGCTATTTTAAAGCAACTTTTTAAGTCTTATTGATGGACTTTTTTCATACAATATTATCTAATAAGAGGATTTTCCTTGTCATTTTGTAACTGGGACAAAAGCAGTTGCGGTTTATAAATGTTTGTGCCTGTACAACATTTCCAAACTCAACAAATGTAGGATTCATGTGTCAGTGGTGGTCTATGTCAAAAGAAGAGAGAGAACATTTATTAAAAGTGCTTTGTACATCACCAGAGTATTATATAGAAATATATTGCTGTAGATATTTAATTCCATTCTAATCCTCAATTATGTGAGAAAAATGAATTAAATCAGTAGAAGAACATAATCTAATAATAGGGTGGGGATTGGGTGGGCTGGTAATATTACAGGCTGATGATTTAATGCCTTGTAATGATTTACATAAGAGAACACTGTGTACTTTATGAAATGTGTATAACAATAACCAGAACTAATACGGTTTAATCCTGTAACTAAGGATAGAATCTGAAGAGCCCTTTCTATCCCGTTTTGCTGTTGCTAATGGCAATTTATTTCACACCTTTGTTTCTTTGATTTAACAGTTTGTGTCTTGGAAAATCTTAAAATAGTTGTAATTTACCCATCATACGAACACTACACTCTCATTGGTTAAACTGGGAAAATAGGGTCCATGCTTTCTTGAGCTCAATCATGTGGGTGAGGTTGACTTTGTCACTAATTATCAACAAGACTTCCCCAGTTATTAAATGTAACAGACATTGGCTTATGACTGCGGAAATTAGATTATCTAGATTTGGATTAAATGCTGTTGATTTGCATCATCCCTTTTAATTGGAGGTGGTAAATAGGCTAAAATCACTTCCTGTGACTGATCATCTTTACTAGACCTTTATGTTGTGCACCGTTGATGGACACATTTGTGGTGAATTAGTCATAGAGAACAGTAGTTATTTTGGACTGTTCTTATTATTTTTTGTTATAGTGACATATGGCTTAAGATAGGGACCCTGGAATCTGCACCTTACACGCGAGTCTACAAATATGCGTTGACTTCTTCATTAATAATCATTTAATTATATTCTGCATGAGTCTGCACCCGGACTGCAATTTCTCGACCTACAATCCCATAGTTTGGTTCTTTTATCACCCATTTTCCCAAGGACATCATGCTCAAAATTATAATCTATTTTAATTTTGAGTTTATTCTTGCTTACCAAAATTAATATAAGGAAATATCCATTACCCATTAATGACAAGGGGTTATGTAAAACACATTACATTATAACACAGGGGTTCTCAACCCAGTCCTAAAGGACCCCCTACCAGTCCAGGATTTAGGGATTACCCTGTTGTGTCTAAAGTGTTTGTTTCCTCCTCTCCCCCAGCCCCATAAAACACATTAGACACAGCAGGGTAATCCCTAAATCCTGGACAGTTCGGTGGCCCTTGAGGACTGGGTTGAGAACCCCTGTTATAACAGTACTGGAACATCATCTGTCACACATGGGTAATTTGACAAGCGAGCTACAACTTTAATTTCAAACTGGAAAAAAATTTAAGTTATTAAACTTTAAAAAATATGCAATTATCTTTTACCACAATAAAGGTAGGGAACATACCCTAATGGGGCCAGTACAAACCACTGTCTGGAAGTCTGTTCATAAACACTACTATACATAGGACATGAGGTCACACACATTTAGACTGGAAGAAAGGAGATTTGGTCTAAGGCAAAGGAAATGTTTTGGTTTTTTTTACAGTAAGAACAATAAGGATGTGGAATTCTCTGCATGAAAAGGTGGTTTTATCAGAGTCTGTACAGATGTTTAAACAGCCACTGGATGAAAACTGGCAAAACATAATATTCAGGGATATCATTTTTAAATTGTGGGGTAATAGCTTCTTAATCCAAGAAGAGATCTGACTACCATTCCAGGGTCAAGAATGAAGTTTGTTGCAAATTTGGAAAGTGCTTCAAACTAGGTTTTTTGCCTTCTTTTGGATCAACAGCAAAAACAGACGTGAGAAAGGCTGAACTTGATGGATGTGTCTCTCTGTTAGCTATGTAACCTTCAATTTTATTTTAAAGATGGTTTTTGCATGTACTGTTTTATTATATAATTTTGTTCCATAGAAGGAAAACTGTCACCTGAAAACGTATTTTTAATATAATAATCCTTGCGTCAAAGAAACAGATTTAAAAAACAAACAAAACAAAAATAAACAACAAGTATATGTAAAAAATGAGAAACTCATCCCTACCTTTAGCATATTACATGAGCCTTCAGCCACATACACCTTGGGTCAGACAGTGATTGAAAACTCTCTATGATCTTCCCTGCTTCACTCCAAGCACAAAAGCAGGGAACACTATAGAGATTAATTATCATTTTTCAAATGACAATCTAAATATAATTTTTTGTATAAATTAAAAACATTAAAAAAAATATATATATACAGACAAGAACCTGTAAATTGTATAAATTATGCCTGGGTGGTGGTTACCTTATAAGTTCCACCAATCCCTCCGTGGCTTTTGCCAGCAGCCATTTGTTCTGGGGTACTCTGTGGCTCAGTCATGTTTGCCTGTAAAAAAAAACATTCTGATTACTGGCATTTACATCAAAATATACATATTGTAATCAAAATGCAGCGTGGGTATATTGTTATTTGAAACTATGGATAGCAAATCTACAAAAGAAGGATCGAACAATGGCTGTGATTAGGAAAATAGGGCATCCAAACATACCAAGACTCAAGCTGAGTGCCAATTAGGAAATCCAGACCAACGTTCCATGATGACTCTAACTATATTGCACCCTGTCTGTCATGTGATAGTTGGGGTTGATGGGAGATCAAGTAAAGACTATCAATAGAGTGGTATGTCTTTCAGGGTTGTAATTTAGGTCGATTAGCAAGTGAGCATATTGTACACAAAACCAATTATTCTATGTACCTATAGCAAACGTGCAATATGGCCAAGTGTAACTTTTCAAAGATATAGGATTAAAAATGTATTATTTCTATATTATGCCACCATTTCACGAAATAACTTCAAGAGGAACATCCCCCAACTCACAAAGAGGCAAATGGAGTATGGGACAAAAACCTTGCCTTAAAATCTTGATAATTTTTTTTTCTTTAAAGGACCACTCTAGGCACCCAGACCACTTCAGCTTAATGAAGTGGTCTGGGTGCCAGGTCCAGCTAGGGTTAACCCATTTTTTCATAAACATAGCAGTTTCAGAGAAACTGCTATGTTTATGAATAGGTTAAGCCTTCCCCTATTTCCTCTAGTGGCTGTCTCATTGACAGCCACTAGAGGCGCTTGCGTGCTTCTCACTGTGATTTTCACAGTGAGAGCACGCCAGCGTCCATAGGAAAGCATTATGAATGCTTTCCTATGTGACCGGCTGAATGCGTGCGCAGCTCTTGCCGCGCGTGCGCATTCAGCCGACGGGGAGGAGAAGAGGAGGATCAGAGGAGGAGAGCTCTCTGCCCAGCGCTGGAAAAAGGTAAGATTTAACCCCTTTCCCCCTTCCAGAGCCGGGCGGGAGGGGGACGAGTATGTTTTCCTGGCACTATAGTGGTCCTTTAACTCACAACTCACCTCCCTTCTCTGTCTATGTCATTTAGCTGTAGTTTTGCACATATAAATTATGTACAAGTGATGTGATAAGAAGCTTATATACATATGATTTATCTTTAACCAATCACACTAGAAAGTATATTTTTTAACTTGTACAACAACACACGAAAAAGATGATTTTCAGTAGCAGACCTCTTTAAAGCTCCATATAGCATAAATTGTGTTTCATAAGAAGCAGTTTTTCTAGATACTATTAGTTCTGAAATACCCTAAATGTTTTATTCCAATAGTATTGCATTCAATCGAACATCTTTATATAAGGCGAGCGAACATATTCAATCCCACAAAGATAAAATGCCAATTTAATACAGACTAGCCATATGGAGGCATCATGAGCCAAACTCTAAAATCATTTATCTTGCACTTTCACTGTTTCCTAAATCAAAAGCAGGCAACCCAATTTAATTCTTAAACAGGAAAAGAATGACACGAAATCATTTAGTATGCTGTTAAACATGTGCCATGTAGGCTTCCAGGCCCCGCTGAAGACATTATTGGATGTTTGTCAATCTGTGGTAAGATCCCAACTACTATCACACTAGCAAGCCAGTAACAGCTGAAATGGCATTCATTTAGCCACCCTGATGTAACAGTATTCATTGTTAATAGTACCATAACAAGCTTTGCTAAATATAACTTTACAGATTGACATGGTTCATGTAGAAAAAATAAGTGTAATTGCTAAGAGTGATTTGTATTGGAACCCTGGTGAAACCATTGCTAACCCAGAGAAATTCTCGATTAGAGTCAATTATGCTAATATTAATATCCTGGCAATAAAATATTATTTGCATAAATGATTTTAAGGTAATAATCCGATTGATCATTTTCATCTACCCACACTAGAGTATTTGTAGGAGTGACCATGCAATTTTATGAATATCTGCTTATGCCTTAAGGGGATGTTCGTTAGCTGTTTATCTTCTAATCACAATTTTTCGAACAAGTTGTATGTATACAAACACTCCTGCTAAACAGGTTTACATACGAAGAACACCTATTTTAAAGCTGATGGTGTATAAGAGATGCTGATGATTTCTTTCTTAAAAGGAGAGATACCGAGCACTTTTTACAACTTACATTATTAGTTAACAATGAACTAATAAGAACAGAATACTAAACAACAATATTTATTACTGCACGTCGTATCGCCTGCACGAAAGCCTGTCAGTCACAGGCATCATCATCAAATATGAATGCAAAGTCAGGGCAAGAACATGATAGGAACTCGTGCCCACACTACAATGAAGACTCAAAGATTAAGAAACCTGTGTTAGAAAAAGTGACATGTAAATAGAATTTGCCATTTTTGTGACCTAGATATTGGCATAGACTGACTATGGGTTGCGTATTATTTTGCTGACGTGACACCCTTCCTAATAAATGAGGGGATGTAATATCAGGAATGACAGATATCTGGTTGTCCCAAGTATGAAAGAAAATAATTATGACGCTATAAGCGTATATCATAGAATGCACAATATTGCCTTTAGTGATTGTTCACGCACAGATATTCTTTCTGATCCTAAATCCTTCTTGTGAAAGCACAGGGTAACATTTCATAATAACAAGATACCTTAAGTAACACATGGAAAATGTAAGCCATACATTTTAACAGTGTGCATACCATTTGCTTCTCAAAACATTACACAAACCTATCAATATTATTGAACATGAGAAGCACAGACATCACTTTACAACTTAAAGTGTAACATTTAAGATCAATTAAGCACAGTTATTAGCCAATCAGATGTGTTGGTGGTCCTTTCTTTAGTCATTGAAACCTGCTTTTACAATTTAATTATCTTGTATTGCCTCTGTGACTTCATTTGATTCTGATTTAGAAAGGGTTTACATCACATGCAGAGTCTTACTGACAGCAAAACAATCCCATTGAGAGCAGTATAAAATAGAAAATGATAACAGTTCAGAGAGCATACACATAAACAATTTAAAAAATAAAACTAAGGCTTTTTTTCTGGATTGCATAGATGGCGGCGTTATATCCAGGAATAAAACTCTTTTGGACACAGTCTTTTTTATCACCATAGATCCATCCCTATGGCTGTTTTTGAAACACATAAAATACTACAGTGCAGTCATTTTTCACATATTTCAGCTAAGCTCCCCTCACGCCAATCATAACAGACAGCATTTTTTTCATTATATTGACCTAGAATGTCTACATTCCATAGCGCTTGGTGCAGTCAGACAGCAATTGCTGTAACAAATACCCTAATCTGCCTTCCGTACATAGCCAGTCATGAACCAATTCCCTGACTGCCACATGTCTGATGGTTGCAGTGCCAATGCTGTATGTAGCACCCTATCATTGCTGCAGCGGTCAGAATAGCCACTTAATAAAAAACAAACTGCTCAGTAAGAGACATCCCATGGGCAAAAAAAAATTAGAACTCCAAAGTGATTTGCCAACCGCACAAAGAGAATGGACCCACTGTACCTCTTCTGCTGAGTTTTCCGGAGTGACCATGCTTTGCTACAGAGCCTGACCATATATATACGTCCACAGTGAATAGAACTGGTGATTAGAGCTATGCTGAGGCAGCAGCTATGTCTATCGAATTGTCTCCATCAGATTTCACACAAATAGCCATGGCCAGGGTTGTACTGAGCGCATCAGACTGTCCTCTGCCTTACAGCTTGACAGCTCATTTTCAAAAGATTAGTGATTGACTTTGGGTCAGCATGTTCAGATTGCCTCATGCTGGCACCTCATGCCAAATATTTGGAGTCAACCGCAGCTCTCAGCATTTTCTAAAGTATTGCTCTGTATCTACCCAGCTTTCAAAAATTAAAATAATTTACAAATATGAATCGATCTCACTGATATATTTCATATATTGGTTATACCCTGCAAAGTCAAGACAAAGTAATCGAACACATAGGCATGCATAAGGGGGTACCACTACCAGATGTGGAGGTACAGAATGCTCCCCCCTGTTTCCAAATTATATTTTACCTGTACTTTTCTGTTTTTAGTTGATGTTTTTTAATGATTTAGTCCTAAAAATGAATTAAGTGAAATGTGCTATGGTGGAAAGATGTGATACATATTGCTTTTTTGGTCAGGGACTCTGTATTTGAAAGCTCTATGTTATGGCCTTTAATTTAAAAATGACGTTTTGAAAAATATTTTTAAACTAAGAGATAATAAAGGGAAAAAATATACAACAAAGTGGGATATAGATGAAGTTGTATAAAAAATGGTGTACTTTTTATGATTTTGGGAGCATACCAGTATAGCAAAAAGTGCATCTTAATATGGGTATTCAGCTTTATGTAATAAGTAAGTTCCCGACCTTTACCTGCCCAGAACCAGCATGGTCTAAAGGTCTATTTACTCTGCTTTCAGGGCACTCCTGACATATAAAAAAGAAAAAGGTGGGTGAAGACAGACATCAGTTTTTTGGCATATTACAGCTTACAACATTAACCAGGAACATTAACGCTATAGCCAAAGATATCACCCAGGAGCCTCACAAACTCACAAATAACTTTTAGCAAACTGCTAACATGATAAAGTAACTCTGGTAAATATTATAATTGGCCAATGTCCCAGTAAGGGTGAGTTATAGATTATTAAATGCATGTGTAAAAGAACAAATCATCATTATTAGAGTAAGGGGTCTTCCATCAAGTAAAAACTTTAATATCATTACGAGGGTAACACTTCACCCACTTCTATAAATTCAAGCCCTCTTGGCATGAGGCAAAGCCACTGACTGTGGTTTACTAACACCACAAGTGGCACTGTAGATACAGTGATGCAGGTTTTGGATCAGTACTTATACTGGCTGAAGCTGAAACCTGTATATTGCAGGACAAGCGCTGGTGCCAGTCAGAGAGAAAAATAATTGGAAATACAAACCTGGGAGTAACTGATATGGTGTTTATTGTTTTGTTTCTTTAAAAATTCAGACTCCATTTGCGTATACATTGGAACACAATGTGGATAAATCCTCCAATGAGTTGTAGAGCACAAAATAATTCACCAATCTGAGTTAACTGCACCCAAACCTTCTATCTCACATATAACATCTAGTGGGGATTAGCATATACATCTCTTCCATCATCCATAAGGGCAGACATAGATACTGCTGGATAGCAGTGTAATTAATATAAGCACGTGGAGTACATATAAAGTGAATTTCCAGTCGTATGAGAGAGACTGTGGGTGTTCTCTCTAGCCCGTACACTAAAACTAACTGTAAATAAAATACCAAGAAATTTCAAGCTCATTCCTCTCCCCCGAAGTGACAGAACCCCTTGCTCTCAGAACAAATCTGACCAAGGAATGGACTTACCTTTCCTCCCTTGCATTGCTGTCCCATCTCCATGGCTGAGATCATCGAGGTTAATTATCTCAGCCAATCAATGTTTTATTTTGCTATTTTGGTGGAAGCTCTCTAGTAGCCTGAGAGGCAGCCACTAGAAGCATTTAGAATTTGCAATAAAAACATTGTCATTCCTGCAAATGGCAATGTTTTCACTTGCAGGGTTAATATGGGAGGGACATGGCAGATGGCACCCAAACAACTTCACAGCCAGTATCCACTTCAGGACCAGGACAAGCTCTAGGGCCTGCATGGGTCCATGAAGGTATATGTGGTGTATTTGAGAAAATATAACTTTCTTCCCTAAGTTGATCGCATGGCAAAACTCTTACCGGGATATGCTGATTTCCCCCTTTATTCTCCCGCTTGGTAACATATCACTTCCTCCTAGTATGTGATAAAGCTGCTCATGGGGAGATGAGTAGTGTGTCAATGTTTGTAGCCGTTTCACCTCTGGATTCCAGGGAAGCCACCCTCTTGCTATGAGAGGTAGGAAATCAAGGTGGTGGCTTAAAACCTATATTTTTGAGTGTGTATCTTGCGTGTGCTTGTGTCTATGCCTGGCAGTATATTTATCTGTGTATATTACCTCCCCATCCCGTCACTACTTCCCTATCACAATTCTGAGCTCCTGCTCCCCCCACCCCCGCCACTACTGTCCAAGTTTCCCCAGCACCAAACTATTTCCCCACCCTACACAACCTACTACATTCCATATTACCACCGGCACTTATTACAGCTAATTTACCCCTTGCATTCACTTTGGTCCCTATTCTCCATCAACCCACTACAGCCCCCCTATTACATACTGCACCTACTACATCTCCCTATTCCCCCTGCACCCACTACAGACTCTGTCCCTTCAGCACCCACTCAATCCCCCGCATACCACCTGCATCCACTACAGCACCTTCGAGTGATACTCGAAAAATTAGAATATTGTGAAAAAGTTCATTTATTTCAGTAATGCAACGTAAAAGGGGAAACTAATATATGCGATAGACGCATTACATGCAAAGCAAGATAGTTCAAGCCGTGATTTGTAATAAGTGCAATGACTATGGCTTACAGCTCATGAAAACCCCAAATCCACAATCTCAGTAAATTAGAATATTGTGAAAAGGTGCAATATTCTAGGCTCACTGTGTCCCACTCTAATCAGCTAAGTAAGCTATAACACCTGCAAAGGGTTTCTGAGCCTTTAAATTGTCTCTCAGTCTGGTTCAGTAGGAATCACAATCATGGGGAAGACTGCTGACCTGACAGTTGTGCAGAAAACCATCATTGCCACCTTCCATGAGGAGGGAAAGCCTCAAAAGGTAATTGCTAAGGAAGGTGCTGTTCAAAGTGTGGAAGAAAAAGGTGCTGTATCAAAGTGTTGAAGAAAAAGGTGCGCAAGCAGCAGGGATGACCGGAGCCTGGAGAGGATTGTCAGGAAAAGGCCATTCAAAAGTGTTGGGGACTTTCACAAGGAGTGGGCTAAGGCTGGAGTCAGTGCATCAAAAGCCACCACACACAGACGGATCCTGGACATGGTCTTCAAATGTCGTATTCCTCTTGTGAAGCAGCTCCTGAACAACAAACAACGTCAGAAGCATCTTATCTGGGCTTAAGAAGAACAGACCTGGTCTGTTGCTCAGTGATCCAAAGTCCTCTTTTCTGATGAGAGCAACTTTTGCATCTCATTTCGAAACCAAGGAAGAAGAATGGAGAGGCACACACTGCAAGATGCTTGAAGTCCAGTGTGAAGTTTCCACAGTCTGTGTTGATTTGGGGAGCCATGTCATGTGTTGGTCCACTGTGCTTCATTAAGTCCAGGGTCAACGCAGCCATCTACCAGGAGATTTTGGAGCACTTAATGCTTCCTTCCGCAGACAAGCTTTATGGGGATGCTGACTTCATTTTCCAGCAGGAAAGCACCAAAAGCACCAAAGCCTGGACCGTGGGATTACTGTGCTTGATTGGCCAGCAAACACGTCTGACCTGAACCCCATAGAGAATCTATGGGGCATTGCCAAGATAAAGATGAGAGACATGAGACAATGCAGAAGAGCTGAAGGCTGCTATTGAAGCATCCTGGTCTTCCATAACACCTCAGCAGTGCCACAGGCTTCCATTCCACGCCACATTGAGGCAGTAATTGCTGCAAAAAGGGCCCAAACCAAGTACTGAGTCCATATGTATGCTTATACTTTTCAGAGGTCCGATATTGTTCTATGTACACTCCTTGTTTTATTGATTGCATGTAATATTCTAATTTACTGAGATTGTGGATTTGGGGTTTTCATGAGCTGTAAGCCATAATCATCACACTTATGACAAATCACGGCTTCAACTATCTTGCTTTGCATGTAATGCATCTATCTCATATTTTAGTTTCCCCTTTTACGTTGCATTATTGAAATAAATGAACTTTTGCACGATATTCTAATTTTTCGAGTATCACCTGTATTACCTTTGCACCCACTACAGCCTGTATAGCCAATTAACACATTATAGTCCCGATCTTCCTGCACTCACTACAGTCTCTATCTCCCCTGCACCTGCTATAGTCCATATTCCTACTGCACACACTACAGATGCAATCCCACCTTCACCCACTGCAACCACTTTCCACCCTGTTCCCAAAGGTAAGGCATAGGCATGGAAAATAAACATTATTCATCTATTTTTTTAATTTAAAATAGTCACCCCTATCCCTTCACTAATGCCCTATCCCCCATCCTTGGTCCTACCCCCCACTAATACTCCTGTTACCCCTTGCATTCACTTCAGCCCCTATCACCCATGCACACACTAGACAATAGAGGTCTATTACCCCTGCACCTTCTACAGCCTTTACTAACACTAGACAGACTACAGTCACCTATTCCATTTACACTCACAACAGCCACTGCACCCACTAAAAAAAACCTATTACTCCCTCCACTGACTACAGCCCCTATTTCCACCTACACCCATTACAGTTCCTAGCCACTCTGTTCCCACTTCAGCCCCTATGCCTCCCCAACCCATATGCCGCCTGCACTCATTACAGCCCCTATTATCTCCTATACCCATTACAGTCCTTACACTCCCCTGCTTCTGCAACAGCCTCTCTCCTCCTGAAACCACTACAATTTAGTAGTGGAAATGATTAGTGCACCCCATTTATTGTTCCTAGAGTCGCCACTGGACCTGGGCATTGAAGTTGTAATGCGCTTAAAAAAAATTAAAAAAATTAAAAAGTGTTGCAGCAGCCATGCATGTCATTATGTGTTCAGCTGTACAAAATATGGATAACATTTTTAACAGTTTAAGATTCTCCAAACAGAAAGGCTTATATGACCCAGCCGGGCATGTTACACTCAAATGGCTGCACTGCATAAACCTTTTGTTTCCAGTAGCATTGATGGACAGTGACATCAGACTATGTGTGACTGCTGCCAAGATAAATGATCCTATTGATGATTTGTGGCAACCTTTGTGATTTGTAACCTGAGAATTATTCGTTTTATATGATTTGTGGAGACAAAAAAAGTTACCCTTATAAAATATTTCTGAAAACTTTTTTTAGAACCGATATACAAGTAATTCTAGTTAATGTGATTAAATTGTGTGTGTGTGTGTGTGTGTGCACGCGCGCGCATTTGTGGTTAAATGAGCTCCTCCCCTTTGCACACCCTTTTTAACATTTGCTCCTGTTATATGACTAATGGGATCGGTGAATATGACTAGGCTGCAGTCATATGATCAATTCAGAAAAATTGGCTAGCAGGGTATATTGCAGCCTGTAAGAAAAGTATCCCATCATGAATCAGAAAAAGGAAACCGATGTCATGCCTGCTCATCCACTGCAATGGAGGGGAAGAATTTCTGTAAAAACTGTTCTGTTTCCAAATTCTCTCTAATGAAGACACATCTACTTTAGCTAATATGCCTAAAGTTAATCTGGCTGATACTATTGCTAAGGCTGTGACTGCTGGAAATAACTAGCTCAAGTCAGTCCTCTACATTAAGTAAGCAAGTCAGGAAAGATTCTTTAAGCTCCAATTCAGACACTAATATCCATAGTGTCTGAGACTCTATGGAATATCCTTATAGTCTGGATGGTAAGTCAATTGATTCTCTTATTTACCTAATTAGATACAGGGTAAGAATTCCAGAAGATCAAGTGAATGTCAAGTCTGATATTTATTTTGAAAAATAAGAGAAAAGCAACTTTTCCTATACATTCTGCCATAAAAGATCTGGTGGAAACATAATGGCTTATACCATAAAAATGCCTGTCTACACAGGGTAAGTTTAACAGGTTTAACCCCTTCCAGGCTAATGACACAAAAAAACTGGAATACGGCACCCAAACTTGACACTGCTGTTATTAAGTGGCAAAAAAAAGACAATGTTGCCTATTGACAGTGCGTATGGATGCAAATGTTGCCAAGACATATACATCATCATTGTCCAGAACACTGGTGAGACCTCGCTTGGAGTATTGTACGCAGTACTGGAGACCGTATCTTCAGAAGGATATTGATACCTTAGAGAGGGTTCAGAGAAGGGCTACTAAACTGGTTCATGGATTGCAGGATAAAACTTACAAGGAAAGGTTAAAGGAACTTAACATGTATAGCTTGGAGGAAAAATGAAACAGGCGGGATATGATAGAAACATTTAAATACATAAAGGAAATCAACACAGTAAAGGAGGAGACTATATTTAAAAGAAGAAAAACTCCAACAACAAGAGGACATAGTCTTAAATTAGAAGGGGCAAAGGTTTAAAAATAATTTCAGGAAGTGTTACTTTAGTGGATGCATGGAATAGCCTTCCAGCTGCAGTGGTAGAGGTTAACACAGTAAAGGAGTTTAAGCATGCATAGGATAGGCATAAGGCTATCCTAACTATAAGATATGGCCAGTGACTAATGAAAGTATTTAGAAAATTGGGCAGACTAGATAGGCCGAATGGTTCTTATCTGCCGTCATGCATCCATCTGTTGCATTGTGACTCCAAACCATATAATTACCAATATGGATATCGCACTCTCCTGAATCCCAGGGTTCAACCGGGCCTGAGGTTGGCCAATCCTCACAATGTGATTTGCGAAAAAGTAATGATGGTCCTCCAGGCACTCAAGTTTAATCCAGTGGGAAGATTTATTGGTCCAAGAGAAATGGGATTATTTAAAAGTTGCACTATTGAAGGCAACAGAAAATTGCATTACGCTTGTCAGTAAAAGCAAAAAATTCAAGAAACCACTGTGGTACTCTGCAGATGTAGCCAAAATAGTTAAAAACAAAAAGTTAGCATTTAGGAATTATAAAAAAAAACAAAGTGAGGAAGACAAAATGATCTATAAGATTAGGCAGAAAGAGGCTAAGCAAGTTATAAGAGCTTCCAAATCACACACAGAAGAGAAAATAGCACAGTCAGTAAAAAAGGGGGATAAAACATTTTTTAGATACATAAATGAGAAAAGAAAAGTAAAACAAGGATTATTTAGATTAAAAACAAAAGAAGGAAGGTATGTAGAAGAGGATAAAGGTCTAGCTGACTGCCTCAATGAATATTTTTGTTCTGTATTTACAGATGAAAATGAAGGAAAGGGACCTCAGTTGAGAAAAAGGATAAATGAGTCATTTATTACACGTGAGTTTACAGAGGAAGAGGTTCTATTTCAACTGTCAAAAGTAAAGACAAATAAGTCAATGGGACCTGATGGAATACACCCAAAGCTATTAAAAGAGCTTAGTGGTGTACTAGCAAAACCATTAACAGATTTATTTAACCAATCATTGTTAACAGGAGTAGTCCCAGAAGATTGGAAGTTAGCGAATGTTGTGCCCATTTACAAGAAAGGTAATAGGGAGGAGTCGGGCAACTATAGGCCAGTAAGCCTTACTTCAGTAGTGGGGAAGGTGATGGAAACCATGTTAAAGGATAGGATTGATGAACATCTAAAAACACATGGATTTCAAGATCAGAAACAACATGGGTTTACTTCAGGGAGATCATGCCAAGCTAATCTTATTGATTTTTTTGATTGGGTAACTAAAATTATAGATCAGGGTGGTACAGTAGACATTGCTTACCTAGATTTCAGTAAGGCTTTTGACACTGTTGCACATAGAAGGCTTATCAATAAACTGCAATCTTTAAGTTTGGATTCAAATATTGTTGAATGGGTAAGGCAGTGGCTGAGTGACAGGCAACAGAGGGTTGTAGTTAATGGAATATATTCGAAGCTTGGACTTGTCACCAGTGGGGTACCTCAGGGATCTGTACTTGGACCCATTCTCTTTAATATTTTTATTAGTGATATTGCAGAAGGTCTTGATGGTAAGGTATGTCTTTTTGCTGATGATACTAAGATATGTAACAGGGTTGATGTTCCAGGAGGGATAAGCCAAATGACAAATGATTTAGGTAAACTAGAAAAATGGTCAGAATTCTGGCAACTGACATTTAATGTGGATAAGTGCAAGATAATGCATCTTGGACGTAAAAACCCAAGGGCAGAGTACAGAATATTTGATAGAGTCCTAACCTCAACATATGAGGAAAGGGATTTAGGGGTGATTATTTCTGATGACTTAAAGGTAGGCATACAATTTAATAGAGCAGGAGGAAATGCTAGCAGAATGCTTGGTTGTATAGGGAGAGGTATTAGCAGTAGAAAGAGGGAAGTGCTCATGCCATTGTACAGAACACTGGTGAGACCTCACTTGGAGTATTGTACACAGTACTGGAGACCATATCTTCAGAAGGATATTGATACCTTAGAGAGGGTTCAGAGAAGGGCTACTAAACTGGTTCATGGATTGCGGGATAAAACTTACCAGGGGTACATGTGAATTCAGCATGGCTCCTGGAGGAAAGATTAATCGTCCTAAAACAGACTTGCACAAGAACTTATTTAAGCGCCGCCGTGTTTTACAGCGTGAGAAACGCAAAAACCGCAAAGTGATTGGAGCTGTAGTGGACAAAGAATTAATAACTGCTAATCACCTCGGAAAGAGATCGTAATTGATGTAAAAAAAATATTGACGGGGGGCGGGGTCGGACTGCCATGCTGAGAGGTCGCATACAAGAGAAGCTCCTGCAGACTAACGACATTAATACCTAAAAAAAAAAAGCAAATAATCTACCTATCTGCAGTTAAGCAGCAGCGGTCCTGCGGGCAAAGAGGTGCTGGAGCTGAGGCCACTCTGATTACAAGCGTTTTGACCCCTGAGAAGGCACATCAGCACAGCTACATCTGAGGCCTACCCGAGCGGTGAGTGGGGTGGACGGCCGCCACCTCGCTATCCTGCCCTGCGGTTTCCCTTTGGAACTCCGACGCCACGCGGTAAGGGCCCCGTATCCCCCCGCTTTGGACCGGTGGGGGTCATCCCGGTCCCAGGAGACTGTCTCCGCGACCTGTAATGCCTGGGTCTGAGAGGGCTCCCCACAACCAAAATGGCGGAAGCAGCAGGCAAACCTGAAATGGCGGCGCAACCAGGGAGCACCAGGTCTCAGCAGATCTGATTCCTCGAGGCTGTCCAGACGGTTAAAAAGCAGAGGGGCCCCTCACTACAGCGAAGTCACCAACTTACTGACCCACAGACGGCTCCTGCGGCAAAGTGCAGTCGGGACCTGCCACCCGGTCCATCCCTATGCAACGCTGCAAACCCTGCCGACCTACACGACACCTTAGCATTTCAGTTGAATCCAGTAGAGGATCGGGCAGACAAAAGGGATCAAACACAGTGCACCCACCCCTCTTACCACTAGTCACGTTGGACTCACTCCTACCATGCCACAGACTCTGCAGATCGGGGGTTGGTTGAGCATGAACTGCCAGGGAGACTCTCTCAAGGTCTGGGCTGCAGTCAGAGGGGATGGCTCCTGTCACTTTTGCCATCTATGCAACCTGATGCTCTCTTTTAATAACTTACACAGTTAAAATCACTTCCATAGCTTAAGCCTTGTCTACCATTTATTTTTATATTAATTTAGTTCTGCATTGAGTCATAGATACAAATCCAGCAAAGCAACTGTTTTAGCATATCTTGAAGCTTGATGTTTAACCTACTCTAACTACACTAACATAGCTAATCTAACATTGTTAAGCATTAATAGTTTTATTTACTTTTACTCTGACAATATACCCCTTTATACCCGTTTAGTCAAGCTTGCTATAAATATATAGAAAAATGTGCGAATTTCCATGCCACTGCCTAACTTTTGTAAATCCTGCAATACGCTGTTGTGGCGTCTGTTGATACCCTGTAACCACCTGCACAACAAAAATAAAGAATAAAAAAAAAAAAACTTACCAGGAAAGGTTAAAGGATCTTAACATGTATAGCTTGGAGGAAAGATGAGACAGGGGGGATATGATAGAATCATTTAAATATATAAAGGGAATCAACACAGTAAAGGAGGAGACTATATTTAAAAGAAGAAAAACTACCACAACAAGAGGACATAGTCTTAAATTAGAGGGACAAAGGTTTAAAAATAATATCAGGAAGTATTACTTTACTGAGAGGGTAGTGGATGCATGGAATAGCCTTCCAGCTGAAGTGGTAGAGGTTAACACAGTAAAGGAGTTTAAGCATGCATGGGATAGGCATAAGGCTATCCTAACTATAAGATAAGACTAGGGACTAATTAAAGTATTTAGAAAATTGGGCAAACTAGGTGGGCCGAATGGTTCTTATCTGCCGTCACATTCTATGTTTCTATGAAAATCAAAAAAAGTTTCGGCCCACAATAGGGCCTTTGTCAAGCTGTGTTTTCGGCTGCACATGACCAGGGCACTCGCGCCGAAAAGGGAGATATAAACTAACCTGGATCGTGGCGGTCCTCCAAGCAGGCGGGTCCAGGCTGGTGCGGCGTTCTAAGGGCATCCGGCCGTTGTGGTCCCGTCCTTACTGTAAAAGGGCACACTGCCCACATTAAAGATGGCACCGGCGTACATGTGACGTCACAATGTTGACGCACATGCACTTTTTGAGGTCAAAGGCCATGTACTGACCAATGACAGCACTGAGAGACATATTTAAACCCTGTAATGCATTTTATCAGTGCCCTGTCGTGATTTCCACTTGTTGCTTGTCAGAGAGCGCGTTCTTGGTAATATTTTCAGTTTTTTGTTTTACTTTGGCTTATGTTTTTGCCTTTCCCCACTTCTGGTATCCAGACCTTTGGCTAGTATATTCGTATTGTCTCATTCTGTATCCCCGACCTTGGCTTGTTATTTGACCATTCTCTTTTACGTTAAGTCTGGCCATTCTAAGGTCTGGTATAAGTTGTTTGTGTTAATATAGTTTTGCGTGTTGGGTCATACAGTAGTCGTGACAAGAACAAATGGTATACATAAAACACCAAGGCGGGATGAAGAGCAAGAGGTTAAAAACAAGAAAAACATTTTACAATACTGTGGGTTCAAAGAAATCTGGTGGTTCTTTCAGCTATTCATTTGCCAAGGAAATACAACAAAGTCGAAATGTAAGATAGTTCCAGATATTTGTTGATATACTACAGATGGGGAAAGCCAGGAATAGATCTTATGGCCACCTATGCAAACAAACATGTTTCATACATCTACTCCAGGACATTCAACTGCCTTAACCCAGAATTAGACCTTTAACCTGGGTATGTCTTCCTCTATTTCCCCTGATACCGAGATCGGTAAAGAAGATCAGGAAGGAGGGTGTATGAGAAGTAATATCCATTCTTCAATTCTGACCCAGGTGACCTTGTTTTCTGTTTCTTCTCTGATAGTCACAGGAAGGTCTTTGGGAGATTCCTGTCAAAAAGAACCTATCGTCAGAAGGCCTCTCATTAAGAACATTGTTGCAGCCTGGTCACTACCTACAGGGTTACAAAGCCTATCTCCCCATTTTAACCTCCGGAGTATTCATCTCTGTGTGCTCTAACTCTGAAATTATTTTCATTATCTATAGTTTTAGGGCCTCTGAAATCCAGGCTCTATCCTCTGATATTCTATTCACCCAATTTGTTGGAGACATTGCAATCCTTCACCCAGTTCTGGGAAATTCTCTTGAAAGTTGTTGCCAAGTTCCATATTAATCAAGATATTGATATTGTGTTGCCTTCCTTTTCTCCAGACCAATCTTCTGATGAGATTTTGTGGCATACCCTAGATGTGATGAGAGAACTTTATATTTATCTGGATAGAAGATAAAGACTTTAGGAAAACAAATAGGCTGTTCATCATTAATTTTGGACTTCGCAAAGGCATGGCAAATTCAGTCTCTATCTGTAGGTAAATTACATCTGCTATTCACAAGGCCACTGGAAAACCTATTCCTGTAGGTGCCAAGGCTTACTCTACAAGGGATGTTACCTTCTCTTCCACTCCCTCCTTTGGTAAAAGTGTCTTGCATTCAACTGTATCTCATCAATAAATGTACTTTTATTTATTTTTAATAGTTCTTACGGTTTGTTCTCTTTTTTTATTTCCCACCTATGTAAACTTTGTAAATCCCATAGGTGATGCTGACATAGATTAGATAGGAATCTAGAAAATGTTTTCAATACTTAATTTTCTTTTCCTGGCAAACATCCATATAAGCATCAAAGTTTCTCTCCCATACTTTTGGTTGACTTTGGTACGTGACTGCTGTTTAGGTGAAGATTCCTTTCCTTACACCTGAGGAAGACCCACGAAAGTTCGAAATGCGTTGTTTGACAGAACTTTTGGGCTAAAATTTTACTTGTTTTTATGTGAATAAATTTTATGCTTCACTTTAATTTGGTGCTTTTCTATCTTTATGTCATTTGAGAGGATTCATGGAGAAGATCTTAATTTAAAAACACCATCACTACTCTCAAGCTGTTATACCTGAGGCAATAGTATACAGGCTCTATAAAATGTGAGTGGGATGTGATAAAATATTTATCAAGTGCATTACTACTCTTTATGAAGTTTATTTCTTCCAGTTGCAAGAAGATATATTTGTGATTTACACTTTATACCAATTGTGATACACTAATACACTTTGTTGTTGTTGTTATATATGTACTTATTGGGTGAAATTCAGACATTGATTCCACTGGAGGGATCGGCTGCACTTTATAAGCACCACTATTTTCTGTAGTCCTTAATTTTATATTGAATATTCCTGGGTGGAGTTTAATCCATAGGTCAGGCATAGGCAACATTCGGCACACTAGATGTTTTGGACTACACCTCCCATGATGCTTTGCCAGCATTATGGGTGTAAGAAAATCATGGGGGATGTAGTCAACAACAGCTGGAGTGCCGAAAGTTGCCTATCCCTGCCAAAGGTGATGCTGACATGGATATTAGCCAGGCAGTAGCCAAGAACATGTAAATACATTTTGTATGAGATTTTAAAAATGTGATGGCAGGGTGCCCAATATCACCATCTCATCTTTCTCACCTCGGCACAAGGTCATGATGAAATCTTTTCATGTGCATCTCCTGTTACATAGGTATGTGTTTGTGAAACCGAAGAAAGGCAAAGAAAATATCAGAGAGGTCAAAGTTAGGTAAATGGGTGGTGCTTGGTTTCTACTTTTCCAGTACTGAACATTTTACATTAATTGCTACTAGAGTATGCTAATGGGTGGTATAGAATACATCAACATTTCTTCCTACCTAATGAGGGATCCAATGCCCCAGCCAAGGCTCCATTCTATGACCACAGGTAAGTTTACCATTACTAATAGAATAGTCATTTTCCATATTCCATAGGTATTCTAATTAAACCGTTCTCTGCTATTAGAATCCAGTCTTTGGTGGTATGAACAAAGATGGAATACATAGTTCTTAAGAGTCATACACATTGCATCCCATTTTCTCTTAGGACTATGAATGGCATAATATTCAATATTTTATCTTTGTTGGCCTTATTCTACCATACTTAAACTAAATGATTATTTATGTATCCAAAGAAAGGTGGTGTAATTACCATGCTTATAAAGTTGGATCCAACTGCCCTCACGTGAGGTACATTAAAGTGGGGTACTTTAAAATAAACTGTGCTCTTGCTTATCAGAGAAAGAGAGACTGAACAGTTTGCTGGAGTATCTTGAGGGGTATGTAACAAACAGGGTTTATTGGTCTTAAACGTAAAATTCACTTTGAATTCTTCCAGTGGGAATAACGCACAATGTTGGCCTGTTCATACGGACTCTGCCTACCATGGAGGGCAGGAAAAAGATGATGTGATAACAAATGGGAAGTCCTTTTATGCCAATACTTGAGTGCAATTTCTTGTGTTTTCTACTTGTAACTGTTTTTCATTGTGCTCATGTACAGATACAGATGCTACATATCGTACCAAATTTAGAAGAGGTGAATACGACAGAAGTCGGTGTACACGGAATACAACAATGTGATGCATGCCAAATAAGGAAACAGATTTATTGTGGTATGTGTATTCAAAACCAGTTTTATTGCAAAGCCATCTTTGTCAGTGTATACATATATGTATATACACACATACACATATATACACACATACATATGTGTTTTCTGTCAGGGTGACAAACAATACAATCTGCAGCAGGTGTCTGACAATTATAAAATAGAGTCCTTAAGTTCTCCTGCTGATACAGTAGTATGACAGTAAGTGCAAAGAATTCTGGGAGTATATACAAAATTTTTGCTTCTGTGCTCGAAGGTTAATATTGGGAGAGCTGCTAGAATTTCACTTATACACCATTATTACCATGCTCCTTGCATATTAACCCACTCATCTATCTGCGATGTGCTTCTAGAAACAGAAAATAATAACATCTCTATCTGGAAATCTAGGTTGGTGACCTGTTACTTGCAGAGTAATTTAAAAATATATATGTATCTCTGTAGAGTAGATATATATTTACCCAGGTTGTTAAACAAAGTACATTTGCTTATGGAATACTTTTTTTTTTTTGTTTCTTTATAAAGGCATAGGTGGTAACAA